GATCGGATGCGCGGGTGCGAAAAAACGGCAGTCTGTCGACTCCTCCTATTGTTTCACAATAAACAGATATTCGATAAAAAAAAGTCGCGAAAATAAAATTGACGGTGTTTTAATCAAAAAGTAGCTTATTTTAATTTTCAATAAAAATCTGATTTGCTCTTCTCCTTGAGTTCTTCATTATCATTGAACTGGGATTTCTTGTATCGTATGTACAAAATATTTACAGTTTTTTTTTTTGTTTTAACGTGTTGCATTTTTCAAACTACTTTTTTTTATATTTTCCTTAAAAATCTTGCATAAATGGTATAATTTGACAGTTAAATTAAAACAACAGTTTGGCAAATTTATTTAGTTTGGTAGTATTTTGATTAAAATGACAATATTCAGCTGCTTTTCGAGCGCTCAGAGATTTCTGCTTTAGCCAAAGACAAAGACGCGCGCGCTCAAAAGATATTAATAAAAGAGAACAATGGACTCGGAATCGAGTATCTAATGATTAAATATTTTAATAGAACACCGTCTTGCATATTGTTTGTCCATCTTTTGTATTTGAAACAAATTAAACAGCGGACGGTCACGAACATAATGTACTCAAGTCGACGGAAATCTATTTAAAGGAAAACGTAACTTCACGAACTGGTTAGAACTCATCGCCATTCTTCTCAGCCGCGGCGATAACTATTACTTCTGCCTCTGGACAATGAAGGTGTTGCAGCAGACAAGCATGGTATTTTTATAATCTTTAGACATATTCCGATAGCTTAATGTAAATGAACGTGGTGTAATTCTGTATTTCAATTGTTATTTGTATTTGAACATTTTAGTAATTTCCTGTAAAATTGTAATATTAAACTTAAACTTACGTAAACTTGGCTTTTCCTTTCTTTTGGACTGTCCAATACAAAAATATCTTTGTATACACATACTCTTTGTATCTTTGTAACGTTCTTTACTCTTTGAATCGGTTACTGACCGTTTGACTTTCATTTGACGTTTGTGTTGTGCACGTTTGTGATTTGGGCTAACGCTTCTCATAATTTGTATAAGTGATATAAATTCAATATCTACAACTAACTCAGAATTCTGTTTCAGTTTCTTTTCTCAAGCCAAGCACCTTCATATACTAAGACAAAAAGTATCTCGGGCGTAAGCAAAAATGGAGTTGGTGAGTAACTGTTCTTGAAGCAGCTTTCTTTTTGTCAATTAAATGTAAAATAAAACATCAACTATTTATTTCATTTTTACACTATTTACATCATGTATTAAAATATTTTTGAAGTGGATTTTTGGTTATATTTGTTACATGGTTTGACATTTGGATAGCGTCGCCATGCACGTCACGATAACTCAAGCATACCGACTGTAGTAACCATTTTATTATAGAATTTCCATTTCATATTTCGTATTTATTCAAAGTGAAATTTTCATACTGCGAATAATAACTCATGGAGGTAGAAGTTATAAGCGCTAAGCTATCACTTTTGTCACCAAAATGTTATTTTAAAAAAATGTTTTCACATTATCAGATCAAAAATATTTTTGATTTTCAAATTAAATTAAAATAGGTAGTGAGCACTATTCCAGCTGATATTATGTGTTGATGAAGTTGTAAGATGGTTTGCACTAGCTCAGCTTATGTTTATTCGTGTTATTCTATTATATCTTAGTTTTATTCACAAAAAGATAAACCTATAATCCAAGACATGTTAGGTTGAGTGATGACCTTTTTTTATATTGTTGATTTACCCCATCCATTAGAATCCATTAACAATTGATTTGATTCAAAATGAGACCAATATCACCATTAAATTATTCAAACTAAGTCATTATACATTACTATAAACTAAATGAAACAGCTAACACTCATACAATAATCTGGTGTTGCTCTGACTAGTTTTGAACTTATTGTCCGTCAGGGTGAGTATTATGTCACGGTTGCTGTCCATATCACACTACCCGAACAGGTTGTTATAAGAAAGCCATTTAAGATATATATATGCTATCTTGGACTTTTCTGTAGAACTTTTTGAGATCTACAATTCTTTCATATGAAATTTTAATATCCCTCCATCGATTTAGGCAGTGTAAGCCGAGAAAAGTTTAAATTTATTGAATTTTTAATGCTGCGGTCCAGAAATACGCAGTTAATAATGGTTCCTCAACATTAGTAATAGTAAAATATAGCCTATGTCACTTACAATCATTTTTCTAAAGGTAAAGGAATTTTTAAAATCGGCCCAGTAGTTTTTATATGAAATATATACCAGAATCCAAAACTTCAAATCTTTCCGAATTCTAATATTGAAGCATAGATGAATAATCATGGTTAGACTGAAGAGTTCTTAGAAATAGTGTTTGTTGTACTGTAAAATGTGTTAAGAGTTTTCAAAGTGAATCTGTTGTCATGAATGGCATGCATCGAACATGTGTACATTTCTCACATATTGAATTTAGCACTTTCCATCGGAAGGTTCTTGTTTTATTCCATCTAAATTTTCATCTGCGAATCAGTTACTTTCTCACACATTAAACAGGGTGTCTGACAGGGCTCGGTGTCATTACTTGCCAAAATCATTCTTGTGATTGTCAGTTACATGAAGGGGTTACTGGAGGGTCCATCGGCCGTTAGGGTTGACTGGAATGATATGTGTCCTACCATGTCGCTTTGAAGCACCTACTACTAAGTGGGAGCACAATCGCTGTACCACTTGTATTGTAAAAATCATTTGCCATCATTAGTCATAATGCAACATATCAGACAACTTATTGTATAATTCAAATGAGTAACCTATTCCCAAATCTGCACCATAAAGTTAGTAATTCTGCGCGTGTTTATTACAATTGCAGTGTTTAACAGTAAGTCTATAAAGTGACAATTGATGCAAAGTACTATGTTATTGTTTCATTGTACAAATGTGTATGTAGTGTTGTTGTGAGCACGGAGTGACGATCGCTGTCTCAGTTGCAGGGCGGAGGAGGCGCTGCGGCGGCGCTGGTCCCGGGT